ATTAACACCACGCCTAATTAAAGGTTGGACCAAATAATGATTTCGACAATATTCTGAATGGAGTTCGGGTCTTTTGAATAATTTTTTGGAGGGCTTAAGTGGACGCCACATGAGTTATTCAAATTTATATACGATATTTATATTTAAAATTTACCAGCAGCTAATACCTAAAGCAAACTATAAACACTAAGCAGTATAAATATATACAGACATACAGTACACATATGGTATCCTTATAAATCCAATAAATTATTATGGTACTCTGCGATAATATTTTGGTTGCAAGTTATAATTTGTGTAGTGTAATTATAGCAGGTATTTAAAAATAATTAATTTAGATTCGTATCCAATCCGTTGGTTTTTTAACCCTGATTTTTACCCATTGGATATTTTGACTTTGTTTTCATAGTAAGTACTTTACAGGATATTATGACCCTGTATAATTTGAGTGTATCTACACTACATATTATCAAGTGGCCCACCCTGCTGCAGCAGAATGGAGTGTAATTTGTTTTATGAATATATACCGTGACGAATAACTGTGCGTAGGGGGCAGTTTGCAGTACCCATTGTACTCAAAAGACCGCCAATTTCATATGTCCTCCCACGCACTGTAGGTAGGTACACAAAAGAATGCCGATATAGTGCTGTGTATAATGCGTACATACACACATACATATATACGAGTCTATGTGGCGGCGTTAAGTATATGTGGCCATTATGATAATATGAAATAATACGAAATATTCTGAGGGATTGGAGAGAAGAAGAATAGAAACTAACATAGCGCCGGGACTGACCCTATACAACATGTACACATCTCGGCAGTGCTCACTATATATACGCAGACGTATGGATATTAAACGACTACGTCACGCTGGGGTTGTTCCAAATAACAAAAACAAAATATTTTATACCTGGAAAAGGGGGAAAAGTGATTTATCGAAGGGCCCCGTGGATAATGGGAATCGTTTTTATCCCTATTATGTTTTGTATTATATTATATATATATGTATACGCGTACGTCCCTCTTTTTTAAAATTTTCATATTTCACTGTTTTAATGGACCGTCTACGTCGAGATTTACATCTCAATAATTTTCACACGTTTTTTTCTTACACGTTTCAATCATTTTTTAAATATTTTTATTACAACGGCGTTCAAATGTTCGATATTAATGTATTATTGTAATATAGTTTTTGTGTATTGTAGTGTTTATGTTTTTTCAGCATTTGTTCAATGTTCGCCTACGTCACTAGACAATGCATCGTGCATAATACATATAGGTAGGTTAGGTAGGTATACTGTAAATGTCTAATAATACATATACGCATAATTTAATATGCATAAATTGAATCATGATGGTACCTGCCTAATAAGTAAAATGTACAATACACACGTTATTAGCTATATGTATATGTGCGAGATAATATAATATCTCACTGCGTTTAATGAATAGGGATGTGCCTATATAATTGACTATCGTCTAGACCAGTCATCTACAACCTTTTATTGGACCCTAGACTGATTTTAGTTATTATTTAAATTTTAATACCCATATTTAAAAAAAAATCTGATTCATAATGATAGGTATTGTTTTTAATGAGCAAAAATGGACACATTTTTTTATCAATCAGCATTAATAGTATGTACATTTTATTTACATCATACAACTGAAGTACATGTTAACTAGATATTATTTTTTTGATTATTATAATTTATAAGTATACCATAACCCAATTCTGAAACTCACTCTACTCATCGGTGTAAGTTAACAAAATCCAAAATTTCAACGCAGTGCCTAAAATTACTTTCCGTTTACAATTAGTTAATTTGAAGACAGAATTATAAATTAAAAAGGCGTAATATTGTATTTCAACAAATGTTTATTTTATATTTGTATTATACTAAGACTTATTTATTATTTATTTATTATAATACATATATGGCTTTATATTATTAGTCATATAAGAGGAATCTGAAATTTGAGAAACGTTAAACATTGCAGCTGTAATAAATAATAATAATAATTTATAAGTAAATCGAATTTCATGCTAACTTCACTCTTCAATAACAACAGCTGTTCAATATTATTTTATATTTAATTTTTGTTTAGTTTAAAATTAATGAATGATAATAGTTAAGTTATAATTGCAGGTTGGGAATATTTAGAGGGGGTCTATGTATTTGGTAGCAAATAGATCGGAAGGGCCATGGCCCCATTAAAACATCATCTGTCTTACCGTTACAATATTTTAATTTTAAATAGAACTTTTAGTTTTGTTAAAGAACTCGCCGAACTAGAACATAACATTCTAATAATTACCAGTAGATCTCACCCAATAAAGTGTTCATTCACTATAAAAATTGAACACAAAATGTGTGAATATGACTTGTATACGTATTCGTATTATTGTAGTAAAGTTTTTATTCTGTAGTCATGACCTTTTAGCTTTTCGGTAATAGACAATAGTTTAGATGGTATACATATATTATACTTGTATTAGTATAGGTGTGAAAGACAGAGAGGGTGTGCTGCAGTGGGTACATAAAAGCAATTATTTATAATTGAATCATCTGTTTACGAAATAATACATTACTACGCTAAAATGTGTTAGACTGTGCATTTGTATGCATTCTTCAGCTTAAACTTATAAACTATATCTATAACTTGGACAATAAAGGCAAAAGTTTGGACAAGGGCAAGAGAAGAGCCACGACCTCTGAACATAAATAAGTGGCATGATTTATATAGATGTATCAGTATTCTGCTAAGTAACCACTCATCGATGTTTATTTTTATTGATTTAAATTATTGTATCCATTGAAAACAAAAAATAAAAATGTTACCATTGTTATAGAAATAATATAAAATATTAAAATAGTAACAAATAACAGTATTATATGGCAATCCAATCAATGGCAAATAGTATAATAAAATAGAGATTAAAACTACAATTATTTATATTTTTAATTAATATAACCAAGAATGTTAATTTTTTTGATTAGCTTATAATGTTTTGTAATAACATTATCAAATACAAGTCTTTTATTAAAAATATAACTGATATAAAAGTGTAACATTAATATTGTATTTAACTTCGATAATTAAAATGACAGTATCTGCGATGTTTCTGTTTATATTATTACTGTAACCAATAACAATTTATATTATGTAGACTAATGACTGATGATAATTATTTGAACATTTTAAATACAATATTTACAGACCAACGGTATATATACTATAGTTAAATGTACGATAGTGATGTATCCAGTTATTTTGGTAACAATATTAGCTATTTTACTATTAAATACTAATGTATAATTTTACTATATTTAACCTTGTGTTATTTTGTCCTTTGGAAAATTAAACTCAATTCTAACATTAATTTGCTAAACTAACGATGAATATGTTGACCGTTCATCTAAATGTCTAAATAAGTCATAACATTACAAATAAATTCACAATAAGCAAATATAAATTAAACAAATATACATCAACAGACAAACATTTCCTTAAGAATGACGATTGTCAGATTGTACAAGTGTCATTAATAATGTAATTTTCGATCACTGGTTGTTTGGGTTAAATTTGATATGAGTATAAAATAAAATGTAATAGGTATTAGTGATAAATTTAATTCTCAGCAATTCAGTTGCGTATGAAATGTATTACTATTCATTCAAAACCGAACATAACAGATTAGTATCATGTTGTCCGTCCATAAAACCCGGTGGGTATAAACTATTTTTGTTTTCGTAACAATTCTGAAGGTTATTTATACATCCAGCAGACGGTCGGTGGGATATTGGAGGCATTTCTGAATATCTCGTAAAACATGACAAAATATGACGAGGAAACACCCGATGAGGAAACCTGCGATTCGTACGCACTTTGCATAATATTGTACTCGGACAGAACCACAAGCACTGTCCAAGTAGTCCAACGATCGACCCTGCGACAACGACCGACCGCGTTCATATATTTTTATCAAAGGGTTTACGCGCGCAAAATAATGTCGCCGAGACGTGGGACAATACCGATGAGCTTACCAAACACCGTTTCGGAGCCATCGATCCCTCGTTCCGACGGCGCGAATAGTGAAAAATCGGGTGGCGCGCTCGCGCTTCGTCGTCGGGAAATTAGTCCGCGGCGCCCACTCTTCCAGCCCACCCGACCGGCACGAGCAACCCGCTCGCCGACCCGCCGACACGTCCGAGGCCGGCGACGGCGCGTTCGAGCGTCTCCGGAGTGTGAATGGACCGCGCTAACCGGCGTACCAGCGTGGTGGGGAGGGGGCGCACACACACGGTATTTCGGTCACGGCGTATGGATCCACCTGCTGTACGGACGGCGTGCCGCGTCGTGCCTGTTCGTAGTAAGGGTGTCGCGGCCCGCAGTCGGTCGGGGTCGGGGCCGGAGCACCACTACAATATGACTACGGTCGGGCACTCGGGGCGGGACGGGTGGGTTACGATAGTGGAATGCCGTCGTAGTCGTCGTACGCCACCCACCGCCACCCTCCCTCGTCGCCGGAGAACGCGCACGCACGCACACCCAGCACGGTCCATTGTGCGTATGCGTTTGTGTGCGCGCGCGCATAGTATTCTCCGGCGGCGGCGGCGTCCCATAGAAAAACAACACTGCCGGCCATCGCCTACCCACCGACGCCGATACGTGAACGCGTGTATACACACTACACCGGCCGTTCCTCGTGTGCGGCGTTCCCTCATCGTTTTTCGCGTGCGTTGTCACTGCGTCGCGGTGTATAGTGTCAGCGCGCGGGCGCGCGCGTGTGTGCATACGTGTGCGCGCGCGTATAATAATACACTTTGTTCAATCCGGGAGCGCGCGCCGCGTGTAAAGCGAGTGGTGCTCCGTCGCCATGCGCCGTAGTATGTAACGTAGTAGTACATTATATTGTTGTAGTAGTAGTAGTAGTAGTTGTAGTAATAGTAGTAGTAGTAGTAATAATAGTAGTAGTAGTAGTAGTAGTAGTGGTGGTGGCGGTGGTGGTGGTGGTAGTCGTCGCCGTCCAACGCATGTGACCGTGTGTGTGTGTGCGCGCGCGTGTGTGCCCGTATGTGTGTCTGCCGCGTCTTTCTCGCTCGCTCCTCGACGCTCGCGACCTTCTCTCCTCTCCCGACGGCGCGAATATATACTATATAAAACATACTAACGTAACGTCGTAACCGCCGTCGCGCGGGTTAGTCGTTGACCGGCGTTGTAATTGTCGTGACGTGTGTGTGTTCGACGGAAAATGCTTATCAGCACCAGTGGCTGCACGACTATTATTATTATTAATAACAACTTGTCCGGTAAGTAGTGACTACATAGTGGCGTTATGGACGGATATTATTTTTAAATTTTGCTTTATAAAAATAGTTTTTCTCACGAGTGCTGTTGCGTTTAAATTTAATTTTATCTCTTGTCCAACGGCATCCGTCTGTTATTATTATTTTTATTATTATCTTTACTGATCCCCGTGTGTGTTGTGGTCGAACCCTCGGAACACCGCTTACCGGGTTCGGCAGTACTGTCGACGGACCGTTCAATCCGTTATTGTCCATTTCCTGGACTTCAGTCTTGCCTAGCAACACATACGCCTAAATCAGGTGTACGGGATTTAAAAACAGCGCACAGGTGCGACACGCGTCCCGGTTTAGCCTTGGACGTTCGGGACTGGTTTCCGGCCGCGCGAATTTCGCGGGCTAGTTACGGTGTTGTGTCTGAGCGAGGACCGTACAAAACTCGATTGTGTTTCGACGGTCCGGAAAACTGACGGAAATCGGTTATCGCATGTCTTACGGGTGTTCGGTAAATATCTGGCGTGTAGTATTTATCTGCGCGCAAGTGTGAGTATGTGTGTGACTGTGTGTCGTGCGTGCGTGCGCGGAGTGTCGTTATAGTGGAAACGAGCTCTCTAATCGGCTATTCATTGACACTTATGCACAACTATTTCGCGATGAGGTGTTGCGCGCTCGAGTTTTCGGCGGTTGTTTTTCGTTCCGCCTCAAGGTCGTCGTCGTCGCTGCCGCCGCCGCCACCGCCGCCACCGCCGTCGACGTGTGATCGCGGCGGTGTCCCGTTTTGCACGCCGATTTCGTATCGTTTACGGCGTTCTCGTAGGTTTTCCGTCTCGCCAATCACGAAAAATTAAACCGAACGGTGGTCGACTCCGATCGCAATTCTCGTGGCGCGCAGTCGCCGTGTACCTAGTGTGTGTGCGTGTGTATCACAACACGATACGATACGACTCTTTCTTATGACGCAAACGGCGGTTCTGCATGATAGTAATAATTGTTTATTATATAGTACTCGCACTCGAATATTTGCTGCGATGTAAAAGTACCCAGACGACCGCTCGAGCCGAACGTAAATAATAATAATAATAATAATAATTCTGCGATGCGATCTTCTCTCCGTTCGTCCGTTTACATTACAATAACAATATTCAATTTATTAAAAACTACCGCGATAAGAGCCCGCGAAGCGAAGCAGGCGTTTAATTGTAAAATAGATAAAAATGCGCTGAAATCGGACACGTGGATAATGCCGTTTCCAAAAACACAACACAACACTAAACGGTGTACCGCTGTACATTTATGATACCGACAATATGATAATAACAATATCATCGATGGGTTCGTTATCGTTAATTTGTTTGGTTCGCTAATTGTCTGCAATAAACAACCGTACCTAATCGGGTTTAAAATAATATAACTTATTCCGTTCCGAGTGGGTTATGCCGAGACGGCGTGTAATACGTACCTATAACGTTAAAAATATTAAATCATGATTATTGTTATGTAAAAAACCATTAACCTTGCAGGCTGCAGCCGACAGTCCGGTGCATCTTTCGTCAGAAGTCGCTTTGCCTTCGTCGTGTTCGGTCGTTTGGCGTACGTTATCGTCCATGTCGACGTGATAACGCCATCATCAGAATTGTACGAAAGAGATTAGCGCGAACAACGTCGATTGCCATAATATTATTATGCTTACGTTCCGATTTCGACCGCCGGAACTCGTCTCGGAATACCCTACGAAATCGGTGGTGGGTGTGTGGGTGCTCGGCTTTGGTACGCGGGGTTATTGGGTTTCGATTGTTTCTTCCGGTGCTCTTCGCGCGTTCCCGGGATACACCCGGCAGCATCGATAAGTCGTGCTCCGACGATAACGGACGTGTGTAAGACGTTATTAGTGACGAAAAAAAATAATTATTGTAATGACTAATGAGCAATGTTGACAGAGACCGTCACGCGTAAACGGACGAATAAGCGCGGGTGAGCGACGAGTGGGTAATATTGTGTATGCACATCGTTTGCGTCGCGTACAAAGGGCAATTATCCGTCGGTGTCCTTATCGCAGATAAACTGGCCCGATTAACAATACTAATAAATAATAATTATTATCGTTAGAGTACGAATATTTTAAGTGCATGATGCATTTATTGTGGTATTTGCAAAATAATCAGCTCCTCGTTTCCGAGAATACAATTTTACAGATAAGCCTCTTCGCTTTTATTGTATATTATTATTTTTTCTCCACACTGAATATTATTAATATTGTGTTCTCAACCCGCTGAACAAGCCCGTTTTCGAGCCTATTGTGTACGATGTTTTGTTGTGTACGGTTTTTTTTTCTATTAATTTTTTGCCGTTTATTTAAGATTTGTTTGAAACGAGATAAGCACGCCACACAGTCGCTGTTGGCGTATTGTTCGAGAAACTGTGTGTACAAAAATTATCAGCACGCACGTGTCGAGTACGACTCTTTTTGTCTGTCCTTTATTGTTGTGGTGTTCTACACACTACAGCAGGTCTCCGGTGTGGCGGTGTATACATATAGACATACAGTACATACGTTTAATAATGGAATATATAATAATAATAATAATAATATAATATAATATTATGCCAAACTCTCGTTGAATGAAATTGTATTTTATCAGTAGGTTGTAGGTACATGTTTGCGTGTGTGTCGAGGGTGACTCGAGAGGACATGGCAATCTCGTAACAATCGTATATTGCTTTCTTTGTCCTCTTTTATGCACGCGCGTAACAGAAAATGTACCTACTGCATAATCGATATTATAATTTTATTAAATCTTATAGGTATTATTATTATCATCTTTGTCGATTATTTTATGTTATACTGTCTACCACTACTATGTAACAGAGATTCACAGTGGAATTTTCTATGCGTTTTATACAATGTGCAAATTATTCGTTGTATTTTTTTTATTCATATGTTTAAGACAATAAATATAATAACAATAATGACCGACTCTATCTCGTATTTCATAAAAAAAATTCTACTTTTTGTCCGATGTCCGTATGTTGATTATTGAATACAACAAATTTATTCTAATGTTGTATTCGAACCCATTTTGGGGTTATTTTTGAAAAACCTGCGCCGTAGGTACCTCTCGGTTTTCCCTACACCACCGGCTCTTTAACATCCCAAACGTAATTACCGACGAGAATAAAACAGAAACCACTTGTACACCCGGCTCGGACTCGAGTAATTGCCTACGGTTTTCATTGGCTTCTTTCGTGCTTTATTATCATTATTTTATTTTTTATGGTTTGTCGCGCCTGCAGTGATACGCCCACGCCGACAACATTCGCAAACGCACGTACACACCGATGCATGTCCCGGGACAATATTAATTCTGTTTTCGATATCGCTCACGACAGCGTCCGTTATGCGGCGGTCTTATCAATAAATATTTTGTAAATAATAGCTATACTGCAGCGACAACGCGGATTAAAAAGTTTCCCGAACAAAATTAATTGATTTACGCATACCAACTTGTTTTCAAATTAGGTCAGAAGTCGGGACTCTATATTTCATTACCATCGTAATGGTATAACTTCTCATAATTCAATAACTACTGTCATAATATTGTATTATTAGTTATCATATTTCAATTTCTAACCCTTGCGATTTGATTTAGGTGTTCCTCATCAACACGTGCAATGATCACCAGCGGTCTCGTGGTGGACGGCGTTGGCCACGGACTCCAGGCCCATTTGCCGTATAACCACCAGGCTGTCCATAGCCACCACCGTATGTCATATGTGGAACCGTCGGCATACATGAAATCGGTGGGGCCGCCGCCGCCTTCGCCGCAACAACAACAACAACAGCAGCAACAGCAACAGCAACAGTCTTCCGAGCTGCCATCCACGCCAGAGTTCCTGCGGCCGTTGCCGAAACCGGCGCCCGTGAACCCCCTTAAGGCGCCTAGGGCGTCGTCAAAGTACCCAGTGGATTGCCGTCCGGTAAACCTGACGGCCCCCAAAGAACCGTTGCCGCCGCCGTCGGTCGACCACCACATCAGGTTGGACGACCGGCACCATCCATACCCGGTGTACGGACATCCCCGGCTCTACGTCAGCGCGACGCCGTACCACCCGTACCATACCATGCACCAGCCGCCGGCGCCATACGGTGTGTACACTAGCCCGTACGCGCCCGTCATACCGCGGGATACCAGACACCATCTGATGCAGCCGCCGCAAGAACGAAGGTACCCGAGTCCACCGAACAAGAACGGCGGCGGTGTTGGCGTCGGTAGTCAGGCTAGCCCGTCGTCGTCGCCTCCTGAACAGTTCAAAGTTCCAAACGGTAGGGACAATAAACCACCCCTGCAGCTGCAACAGCAGCGAATACTACCGCCTCCCCAACCGGCCACTACAGTAGCCACCGCGCCCGCCGTCAACCACAACAACAACATCAACAATAACAACAATAACCACATAGGCGCGGCCTCTGAACCTTCGCCAAAGAAACCGCGACGCAACTCGCCGGAGCCGCTGTCGCCACCGGCGGCCAAGACGTCAAACTTCACCAAAGGTTCGCTGATACGGTTGGCCAACGGCAATATAAAAAAGGTCGAAGACATGAGGACCGAAGACTTTTTGAACTCTGTGGAAAACAGTGACCTGCACAGGATCGATCCTAGTACGGTGGTGAGAATCGAACCCGTGACGGATTCGGCGGTCAAAGGCAACATAAAGATCACACTTAGCTACGGCGACCAAAGAAATCATCAGGTAAGCGCGATATTCCGATTATTATTATTATCATTATTATTGTCGTATATTATATTTTTCATCGATAAGGAAGTCGTCGTCGTCGTCGTAGTAGTTTTCGTAGTAATAATAATAATAATAATAATAATAGTAGTAACAGTAGTAGTATTATAGTAGTAATAGTAGTATTTTCGACCGCCTCACTCTCCATCCATCCCTCCACACGCCGGCGTAACACCGCGGGAGCTCGTCGTATATCAAACGTGTATAATATAGTAAAATATAATATGGTCTCATCTTGGAATCGGGTTTTGGTGAAAGACCGGCGGAGTAGGGTGCGGTGGTGAAGACTAAACACGAATAGTAGGTGGATGACGTTGTGCGGTGGAGTAGGAGAACCATTAGCGCGGCGGTCTTAAAAACGAACCACTCGTCGCCGCCGCCGCCGCGGTAAATTCTGTATGTAATAATAATAACTCCTGGAATGCAACCAAGACGATACGGGTTTTTTATTATTATTACTATTATTATTATTATTATTATTATTACTTTTTATCACGAAGACGGTGCGCGCAGTGGGTGTCGCGAGGCGGTTGGTGGTGCGAGAGCGATGGGCATGTAATCTCGCCGTACGACCTTGGGAGTCCACGAGAGGAACGCGGCGGCGGCCCCCGTTCGTCGAGGAGAGTTGTAGTGAGTGACATTGTTCCGGACTGGTTCTAGTTCAAGAGGTGTGGAAAAACCCGGAGCTTGTGGAGGCGGCCATATTGCGTGGCACGAGTTTGTCTTGGCGCGCGCTCGCGCGTGTGTGTGTGCGTATAAATTTTAGTCGTAGTATTTGTGTGCGAGTGTAATAATATTATACTACGCGCGCGCGTAGGAATTCCTTGTCCGTCGACGACCACACGACAAACCAACGCGCGCGCTGTGTGTTCGACGCCGTTTTATCTCCAACCACCTTTTTAACGAAATTGAATTATTAAGTGAATAAAAATAATAATATTATTAAACACGTATCACCCACCTGTGTATAAAATTTTTTTTTCGAATTTCATTTGTGGAATTTTTTTCCTGCGTATTGTACGACCGGTTGGTTTTGCGTAATAATGTATTGTTCACGGTCCACACTCCACGTGTAAAGTCTTCTCGTACGCCCCCACCCCACCCACACCCACATACCAACAACTGATACCTACTCTACGACTTCAGCCGAACGGCGCAGACTAATGTGTCGCACACGACCGTCCGGGTAATTGTCGAAATTTGTTAACGGTTGAACACGTTTCAAGAAGTTTTCCTACGATCCCGGAAAACGAACGTGATGCGTCCCTTGTCGACGAAATATGCGTGTGTGTGGGACTTGGACATCTCACACATCTGGTCACGTCTGTCACGTGTTCGTACAATATTTGTTGTGCAAGTGAAACCTCACGATTTTTTGATATTTCGAATCGTTGCCGGTTTTGATCCTCCGCCGCGGTATCAACAATAAATTATTGTCGTTGAGATGGAACACAACGTTGTATACTATTACTGCAGCATATTATTCAATTAATAATTCTATATTATTTTTGAAGTAATGGCAATATTATTGTAAATCAAAGATCCAAGATTTTATTTAATTCTTCAAAAGTGTATAGTTAGTAAAGTATCGTGGCTTTACTATAAACTACTTACTCTATCGAATCTATACACTAACTTTATCGACGACACTATTTTTCTAGTATTTTATTGGTACTAGTGTATACATTTTAATGCTCTAATTTTACTCCGATGGTAAAACGACTATCTTGAAAACTCAACTTGCATTGAACATTTGTTAATCAAATTCGGTGATAAATACTAAATTAGTAATACTTGTGTGGCTGTGTATTGTAAATGCATAAAGTGGTTAAATGTTTACAGTTTCTGTATGCATGTCAAAGACTATCCAATTTTTTTAGTAATTATTTGAACTTTTTAAATTATTGATGTGTTACTGTTTGTACTTTGTAGTGTCGTGTCCCCGCGACAATCACAAATTACATCACACGAATTTCAAATTATTATAATTTATATAGTTGCATACAAGTGCATGCAAATTTACTTCAATTAATAATTTAATTTCTGTGGGTCCGGGAACTCTGACGAATTCGGAGAATGTTTTAATAGTAGGTATAGTATTATATCGTAATTGCATTATAAATGTACCTACTAATATGATATTTATCTGCGAGTTTGTATGTTAAACCCATTCAAATGACATTATTAACTACGCAACGGTCTTTGTTACGTTGTTCGATTTAAATCGTGTTCATTGTCCAAAGCAAGTTATAATACACAGTACACACCGTTGTGTTTTAAAAGTGTATCGGTAATATTATATTATAAAACCGAATGCTTGATTTCAAAATATTTCTAATTAGTTCTATTGTTGTACTATTATATTATATTAGTGTCGTAGGAAACATTGGAATAATATTGTGAATGCATGAATTATTTGATAAGTCCTCACTTAATATTATAATGATTACAGACTGTTTTTTTCTTTCCATCATCAACATGATACAATCCAAATACAATATGAAGTACTTTCTCGTTTCGCGGAATTCTTTGTGCCGAGAATTATTTATGTATATTGGAATATCATATTGCATGTTGTTGTTTTTTATCTAATGCGTAGTGTCCATTTTCGTCGTGAATTCCTATTAAGCAATCAGGATCGTTTCCACTAACTCGTTCAAACCATATAACCAAGCATTTAATTTTAAAAAAATTATATCATTATATAGTATAATAGATGTGTCGTTTTAACAGATAATCATCATTAAAAATCGTTCCGCGTATTTGTTTTTGCATTTCGCATTTCATTATTTTTGATCTCGGAAGAAAAAAAATAAGTACGCTGTTCAATGCTCATACACAATATACATAATATTTATCTGTACATGGCATATTGGCATGTGCTGCAGTTTGCACTGTGGTTACTGGTTAGTAATGAGTAATGACTAATGAATAATAATGATAGAAATAATATGTGTCGACCGGGATTTGCGGCGCGACTGTGTGTGCTTAAACGACGGGCTAGCTGAATCGTTGCCGATGGGCGATAAATAAAAATATCCATTCCTCAGCGAGCGTTTTATTACGAGAAAAAAAATGTATAATATTATCCAGTTCAAAGAGCAAAACATTACTATATATTACCTATAGTATAGGTGAGTTTAATTTTTTTCAACTCATTTATTTCGACGGCGGTGGCGCCGGTCGCATTTCATTACGTAACACGTATTTTTCATACTCCGGTCGGTGAGATCTCTGTACGGCAGTCTCATTATCGAAAACGCATAAATTTCATTCAACAATAGTAATTAGATATTGCGCACGGCCGCGTTTTCGTGATACCTGGTTACCGGTTAGCGCGGGCGACGAGTGATCTATAGTGGCGATCGCGTCATCGTCGTTTTCTCGTTTTCTCTGAACACGCGCGCGCTACTCGCGGTCAACCCTCCTCCACATTCGGTTGTCTGCGCATATTACACTTCCTCTCCTCGCCGCCCCCTTTGTTTTCCTCGTCGTTGTGTACGCTTTTTTTTTCTACGCTCGTGCAAACTAGTTTCGAGAATGGGAAAGAAAAAAAAAAGATGCCCGAGAAAGGAAAGAACGAGTACAGGCGACGGCAGCGCACGTATGCAGAGAAAGAGAAGATGGCGAAAAAAAGCTGATATCCAACACAATGCCAAAACCAACCCGTCGCCCCTTCCTACTCCCCTCGCCAGAACCCGATTCAGCGCTACGGAGAGTATTGTTTGTGTGTGCGTGTGTGTGACCTTTTTTCGTCTGAAGGTCGGAATGCAGACATCGATTGGAAATGCTAATTCGGTGCCCCCTCACGGCTCCTCCCGCGTGTTAAGCGCACTGCTCGAGTGCACCCGTCGCGCATGTGCACCGAATAACTTCCCTGCCGACACGAGATAGAGGGTGACTGCGTGTGACCCCTTTCGGTGCCCCCCCCCACCGTACAGTCTTCGGCAATAGTAGCGAAAAATTGTTCTCCATTGTATACTGAATGAACCGATTCTAGTACACTCTGTACCCTGCAAAGGCTATAATATGACTTATCTCATTAGTAGTTCTGCGTACTTATATATATCCTTATGTATGTTATTCGGATTTTATCCGGCACACGCAGTCACGACTTGAATACGTACCTACTGGTAACTCCACTACTGCTATTTGCCAATCACGTGTGGTGATTTAAAAAAAAATGCAAAAAACCAGGGTCATAAATTCTAATCGATAATCATATGGCGGACAAATAAACGTGCGCCTTAACGTTCGGACAAGATCAAACCACTCGATAGTCACAGTTGTCGTATAGTTAGGATTTTGGTTTATCTTTTCGACATGGGTCAGGGTTATTCGTGCCGGGGAAGTGAGGGTTAAATTGTTAAGAGCTCTAAACTAAATAATATACGTTTTTGTTATTCTCTCGTCGTTTATTATCGGATTCGTGAGTATACAACAATAAATTATAGTATATATTTCGAACTATTAGTGGATCCTGTTAGTGTATCGTTCTATTCTTATAGCTTGTGGCTTGGGCGGCTGCTAATACATCTTAGACACTTATAATTGGTCATTATTATGAGAATTTTTTTGAACCAATATTTCATATTTTATAATTGGTTTATAATAACATTAAGTATAAAAAAATCAATATGATATAGACACTGATGTATCAATACAGCCATATTAAATGTTACCGAATTGTAAACGAACCGACGATATAATGTACGATTGTCGATAATATTTTATATTTATACAATTATGCATATAATATGTTATAAACTAAACATTTTCTATATAGATTATATAGTATAATATAATACAGTGCTATTAGTTATCGTAGACAACTAATTTTTGTTCCTAAGGTCTGCACAGTCCATTAGCTGTGGACTGTTCTGCTGGAGATATAATTTAGTATTTAATAATATATCCATACAACTATAATTATATAACAATATGTACTGCAGGGACGA